AACAAATCCCCACTCCCTGCAAACACACACACACACACACACACACACACACAGAAATAACAAGTAGGAAGGAGTACTGGTGGGTACTGGTGGCTCATGCCTCTTGTCTTATTTATGTAAGCAAGAGGCTGAGATTGGCCTTTTCTAGGCCACCTGGGAAAGAAAAGTCCTTGAGACCCCATCTCAATGGAAGAAGCTGGGTTTGGTGATGAGTTACTGTATCCCAGCTATGACATCAAATATAAAATAGAAAAGTTGTGGTCCAGTATGTACCCAGGATCATATTGCTTCCAAACTCATTTTTTGAAACCCCATCATAGAACTAACAAGATATATTTCATGTATGTAAATGAATTAATGTTTATTCTGTTTGCAAGAATGATGTATTAGGTTCAGGAACACACACACAACCTGGCAATGTTAAAAGCGAAACTGATTAGATCTTGACTGCTTTTCTTTTATGTGCTTCTGTATTGTTTTCCAGAAATGTTTACCTAAACCTGTAGCTCTAATGGCAATGTTGCCTGTCTTTGTTGTGACTTGATGTCAATAGATTTACTTAAAAAAATATTTGTTTTTAATCACAAAGGTCATGTATAGAATGGTTATAATTACATAAGTCAGGTAATAACATTTCTTTTTAAACGGTGTCATCTCTTCCTTCATTTTCTCCCAGCTTTTCCCTCCTGACTCCCTTCCTCATCAAGTTATATAGTTTATTTTAAGCATGGTGTCTAGTGAGCATCACTGCTGCATTTGTTCACTCTGTCCCACCATTTCTGTGCTTCCCTTTCCCTTCCCCAAAGCTGATAAAATCACATTCCAGACAAAATGTTCAGAAATCAAAAACAGTGACAAAAAAGGGGAAAAAGTAAAATAATAAAAACTCTTGTTTCTATTTCTTGGAGTTCATTTTGATAAACACTGTTTTATATGATCATATACACATAGCTATTGAGCCTTTGTGATCCTCTCCTAAGAATATCCTTCTTTGGTCTCACTGTGTGAATTTAGAGTTCCTGTTTAACTTATATCCAACTGTATTTTTTTTGTCTTTTACCATTCATTGTATTTGTTGTAGATTTATGGGCACATTCTAATTACCACAAATGCAACCCATGTTTCTTTGGGTCTGGCTTACTTTGCTTAATCTAATTTTTTCCAAGTCTTTACATTTCCTTATGAATGGTACAATATTCTTTCTGAGGAAAGCATAGAATTCCATTGTTTATATATATTACATTTTCTTGTTTCAATCATCCACCAAGGGCCATCTGGGTTGATTCCATATCTTAGCTATGGTTATAAACAACAACAAACAAAAATTGCTTCAGTGAACATGGTTATGCTGGTGGCTTTAGTATGGCCTGATTTGTGGTCATTTGGGTAAATGCCCAGGAGTGGGAGTGCTGGGTCATAGGGAAGCTCTATGTTTAGTCTTTTGGTGTGATTGAACAAGTTTACATTCCCTTTTAGCCACATCCCTGCCAGCATCTGTTATTGTTAGCTTTCTTGATAATGGCCATTCGAATTGGGGTGAGGTGAAGCCTCAATATTGTTTTGAGGTGCATTTCTTTCATGGCCAGTATTGTTGAACATTTCTTCCTGTGTCTATTGGTTATTCTTACTTCTTGTTCTGAAAAGTCTCTCTTTAAATATTTAGACCATTTATTAATTGGGTTGGTGTTTCTTTGAGGGTTTATTTGGGTGTGTGTGTGTAACTTTTTGAGTTCTAAGTATATCTTAGATATGAGCCTCTTGTCTGATGCATAACTGGCAAACATCTTCTCCCAGTCTGTGTGCTTTCTATTTATCTTGCTAGCTATGTCCTTTGCCGTGCAATAACTATTTAGTTTGATGCAATACCATTTATCCCACCTCTCTTTGATTTGTTGTGATACTGGACCTTTATTGAGGAAGTTTCAACCCATGCCTAGGAGAATCTAAGAATCAATAGATTTATTTTAGCTATTTACCTCATTATATTCAATGTTAAGATTAATTTTCTCCTTCAACATTATCTTTACATCTTTGTCAAAAATTAATACCCCCATATACACAGGTAGGAGTCTATTTCTGGACTTTATTCTACTTCATTGTTCATATAGATTCGATTGGTCTGTTCATGTTCACTAGCACAGATTTGCTTTGTTTGAATGCCTTTATAAGAAATTGATATCAGGTAGGGACAATTCTGCAGTCTTGTCCTTTTTACAAAAAAGTGCTCTGGGCTGAAGATGTGGCTCAAGTGGGAACGCACCATTATTAGCAAGCTAATCATTTAAGGTGTCCCTGAGTTCTAGTTCTAGTATTTGAAGAAAACAATTATATGCATTTCCATATGAATTTTAGAGTCAGTTTGTTAATTTCTATGAAACAGTGGGGTGGAATTTTTACTGAGATTCGAGTCAGTCTATAAAGGAACTGGGCAAACACTGATAACAATATGGAACCTTGCTATGCATGAGCATGGCTGATCTTGTTATTAATTTATATCTTCTTCAAAAAAACCCCAATAGCCACCAGTGCATAAAATATGCCACACACATTCCAGGTGCCGGGCTCACGTGTGTAATCATAGCTATTCAGGAAGTTAACATTTGAGGATTGCAGGAAATTCTGAGACTCCTATCCTCAATTAACCACAAAAAAAGCCAAAAGTGGAACTATAGCTCAAATGGTAGAGTATCATCTTTGAGCAAAATAGCTCAAGGACAGTGCCCAGCCCCAAGACTGAAAAAAAAAAAAAAAGGAAATAGAGCTGTGGAGAAAGTAAGTAATTTTCTATAGACCAGTTAGTAGGGGAATAGGAGGTAATTCAGAACTGACTGAAAGCCTGGCCTTTCCCATTCACCAATCTACATCACTTTACCAATAGCTAGGATTAGAAGTGACCATAATTTATACCTGCAAATCTCTCCAAAATTCATTCTTTCTAAACACAAGTATTTCAAATGGACACCATAATGATTAAAGGAAGAAAACAGTATTCAATTGTTTGGAGCATATGAGCACTTGCAATTAAATTATATTTTTCAAATTGCACTTGAGAATAGAGTGTGCCAATTATATCCTTTGGGTCTTGCCCATAACACTTGGGATTCAGGTTAATGAACACCATAGAATGTTTGTACCCATTGCAAGAAAAGATGATTGTATTTATAAATTAATCATACAAATGGATGTAGGAACTGAAAAAAAGTATTGAAAAAGACCCAACAGTTCTGGATAATTTATAGAGTGAAGTAAATTCGTAGACATTAACATTTACAAATTTACCTAAGGGTCCCAAAGAAAAAACAAACAAAACCTACCAAATTAAAACAAATTCAGATTGAAGAAGCTGGGCACTGGTGGCTTAAACATGTAATCCTAACTATTTAAGAGTCTGAGATTTGAGGATCCAGCTTTGAAGCCAGCCTGTGCATAAAAAGTCCTAAGACTGTTATCTCTAATTAATCAGCAAAGAATCTGGAAGTGGAAGGTGGCAAGAGGTAGAAACCCAACCTTGACTGGAAAAAAATCTCAGGGGCAGCTTAAGGCTCTGAGTTCCAGAAATCAGTATGGAGCCACACACACACACACACACACACACACACACACACACACACACACACACACACACACTCAAAAATTAACCAAAGTACGGATCCATTACTGATACAGGCTAAGACTGATTGATTGCTTGATTTTGTCGATCATGGAGCTTGCACTCAGGGCCCTGGGTGCTGTCCCTGAGCCTGAACCACAGCTTCATTTTTTTGGTGGTTAAGTGGAGATTAGAGTCTCACAGACTTCCTGCTTGGGCTGTTTTGAACCTTGATCCTCAGATCTCCGCCTCTTTAATAGCTAGCATTACAGGCAGGAGGCTCCAGCGCCTGGCTAAGATTTGTTGTTTTTTTTTTTTTTCCTGGATGGGGAAGATTATTTATTCAACAAATAAGTACCGAACAGTTGTCTAGGACCTATACTATGCCTGGCGTGTTGGCTCCCCAGAACACCGTGCCCTTACAGGGAGATTCGCTGCTCACCTGTCATTCCTGTGACAACAGCTTCACCACCACAGGGACCTTGGTGGCCATGAACATGTTGGAGATGCGTACACGTATACTAAAGCCCACGAGTCCAGAAAGCTGTGTTTCAAAGAGCTTTCCAGATGCATTTCCAATAGTTAAGAACCACGAGCGTCAAGAATGGCCTCTGTTGGGCCAGTGGGCCTCCCCCTGGTCCCTTGCACCCTGGCCGCGCACCGGAGGGCCTGATAGAGGAAGTGACCGGTATCTGTAAAGAACAAAAGTTACAGGTCCAAGTCTCCATCGGGTGTTTCTCCTCACGTTGCTTCGGAGCTTTTCCAGGGCTAGTGGACAGTGCGGGGGATGGTGCGGCGGGAGCCGGTGGCGGGGCCGGCGCTGGGGACACGGCCGTGCTCCACGGGACAGCACCTGTCCAGCCGGCCGCGGGGGAGGCGTGGCCGGGAACCGAGCCGCGGGGGAGGG